AGCAACACTGTCATAGTCAAGGCAGGGACTTTCCTAATTGTTCTCAGCAGCACAGATTCCACATCCCATGCTAGCCTCCTTGTATTCAGCAATCTGCCAGCTGGTATCACAATCATTTATCAATGAAAACCTTTCAATCCTCCACAGACAATTCTGACGTTGCTTTTAGCACACACCCGATTCAAATCATTTTAAATCGCCTCCCTGAATTATGCTACACTCTGGCCATTTAAATTGACTTAACTATTCAGAGTAAAATAAACCATAGCCCTAGAATAACATTGGAAGATTAGAAAAAATGAACATCAGAAAATGAGAAGATGTATCTGTTTTGTCTTAACTGCATAATCCACTTCTAGTATGAATTTGTAAAAGACAAATCTGGATGAAGATCTTTTAAATAAGCCAAGAATAATAAAAGGGAGTAAAAGAATGACAGCCTGCATTACTTAATCCAATACTTTTAATCATACCTCGGGGTGTTCTCCCACTTTGAAGCACTGTGTTTCTTTCTTTGAAAACTTATGATTTTAAAAGTATTTCATTTTCAAGCATCTGAAAATAATTAGGAAACTAAAACAGATTGTCAACTTGCAAATTATACATGTGCTTCAAATGTCCATAAAGATCAAACATTTAAAAACAGGATGACAGTGGAACTGGAAAAAAATCTGTATATAAAGAGAACAGATTATTCATCGGTTATTTAGTTCTGAACAGTATCTGGAGAGTCAGGCTATCCAAGTGGACTCTTTGTCCTGATTAAAATCAATTTCCAGTTATCAGAAGATGCTGTTTTCAATATTAGTGCAGTCATCTAGGAGTTTGCACAGGTATGTTGAGCTCATCATGTAGTTGGCAGACTTGGATTTAGAAAGGGGCACACAATGTGCATTGGGATAGATTAATCATGCAACCTGCCCATGGCTCATGACAGAGGTACCTGTGAGATGTAGAGTCAACATGAGACATCCACACACAAATACATATTCACTTCATCCACCTGAAGACATTCCATTTAAGCAGGGATCATTTCACTGCCTATCATTAGAATGAAGGCTCTCATATACTGCAGTACTGGCCACTGTATAGGAACTAAACAAATAGACAAATTCCTTGGGAGATTAAAAGTGCTCTTTAAGTCTGACTCAATTATATGACTTGTACCATGCAACATAAATAGCTAGCGATTCTTAAGGAACTCCAAAGGCTTTTTTCAAACTTTGGCACACAATTTTAGATTCTGCCCATCCCCATCAAATTGGCATTTAGGCCTAGGCATGTGCTTCAGCATGCGCTGAACTTTAAGCACGTGAGCAGTCGCAACGATGTGAAGCATATGCTTAAGTGCTCTGCTGGATTGGGACCACAACTTTTTTCCCCAGCAAAAAATGCAGCATCGGCAATAGCAAAATGTTTTACCAAATTATGTCTGTTTTGCCAAATTGTTTTAGTTGGGGGGGGGGGGGAGAGAGCAGGAGACACTAAAAAACCAAAAAAAAGAAAAAATCCAAGAAAACCTAAATGTTTTGAAACAAAACTTAATTTGTTGGTTCAAATTGACTTTTCATTTCAAACTTTCCTTTAATTTTATTAAAAATCAAAAACATTTTAAAATAGTCAGAAATGAAACAAAAATTTCAATTTTGTAAAAAAAAGAACAAAACAAAACAACCCCCCCCACACACACAAAGCCCCCCAAACTTTTCACTCAACCCCAGATATTTTTTAACTTTTTTTGTTCACACCGTTTTTTGAAAAATGTTATTTTCATTTCAATCCAAAACAATTATTTTCTGATTTTTTGGACAGCTTATTTGCTCAGCGTTATTCATCAGGAATGTTTGGGCATTTTTTTTTTTTTTAAATTGAGACAAAATTTTCCCCCTCCCCTTTTTCCCCATCCCAAATTGTCATGAATTTAAATCTCTGCTCTCCTTTGGACTATACTCTGATTAGAAATAGATTCTGCCCTCTGATATTCATTTTCCAATTAAGTTCAATGGATCCCAGTGCAGAATTTCACCTTTAGTTTACTTGGCCATTCATGTAGGCAATCTGACCTTTCATGGACATAACACCAGCATTTGGTCCTTTATGTCTTTTAACCAAGATTAGTGAACTTGGGTATCCAATTTGCAACACCTTAAAGTGGCCTAGATTTCAGTAAGGGCTCAGCACCCAACCTCTAACAATCAGGCCCATTTCAATGACACAAAGTAGGTACTCAAAAATCAAGGCAAAATTACTAGCTATCTTTGAAAATCCTGGCCACACTGAAATGACACAAGACACCTTTTACAGAACATCTAATTTGAAGTGCACTACACCCTTCCCTGGGACGCACTCAATTTACTAAATCTTTTGAGCAGATGCATAACACCATGTGAAACATAATATCTGTTTCTGAGTTTTTCCTGATATGCCTGTACTATATTTGAGTAAGCCAACTCTGGTTTTAGATTTACAAAGATTAAATTACAGGATGATTTCTTCTCTGTCTCTTTTTTTTTTCCCCCCCCCATATACTGACTGGTTCAGTAATTTTATTGTTTATTGCCCTTCTGGGGTTAAGTCAAAAGGTCTCAGCTGTAGTTCTTATGTTAGCTACCCTCTGCTTAAGCTTGGAAAGGTCCTGAGGTACTCAACTGCTCAGTGCAAAATATGGGGCTAGACTGCTGTAAAGGCACACACAGACTCAAGAAGCCCAGTGCCTCTGACGGTGATAGGAGGGCTTTGGGCCACAATATCCCTGCAACACCCTCTTATGTTTTACACTCTCCTTTCCCCTTGCACCCTTCTCCTGGCTGGTGTGGGCAGGAGTGGGAAACAGGGCGACACTCCTAACCCTCACCACCCACTTTTGGAGCCTAGTACCTGGGTAAGTGTTTGACTTGGGCAGTCTTTGCATGCAAGTACTGTGATCATAACGAGCACCTAGGCACTTTGCCCAGCCACCTCTACATCATGTGTAGACTGTATTTATACAGTCTGAACTTACTCCCTTCCTGTAGTTTCAAATTCTGAGCAACAAAAATTACAGTACGATGATAACGTTCAGCTCACACCTTCTCTTCAAGACTGGCTGTTCCTCCCTCAGACTACTCAGCCCACAGCCTAGATCCTCTCTCTAGAAAGCCAATAGAATCTCCTCATCCCTTTCTCAGCAGAAAGAACACCTGCCAACAGGGTGAGGTTTCAGGCAAACCCTGCCAGCCTGTTACATGCCCCAACACAAGAACATACAGGGAGCTTTCCTTCCCCACCTTGTGCAGCCACAATCAGGCCTGCAGTGTTCTCCTAATTTTAATCCTAAAGATTTTTATAGATATCTTGGTGGGATACTTTATCTTTAACAGGTAACAACTGCTGGGTATCATAATTTACACAGGGTTCAGTCCTTACTCAATAGGAGTTTTGCCTGACTAAAGGCTGTGCAAGGACTTCAGGATGCACCCATACATTGCAAAATAGTCATATGGTGATGAAAAATAAGCTATTAGGTACAAGAACTATCATTTAATAACAACAATGCACTACTTTTTATACAGTACCTAGCAGAGTGGGATCCCAACATGACTCAGGTCTCTTGGAGCTCATACAATATAAATGTTTCATAATACCAAATAACAGTGATGAGCCAGATTCCCCATTGCCCTACACCTCATACAGCCAGTTACTCCTCATACAGTCAATTACGTGCAAGGTAAAGCACAAGTAAATCAGCATGAAAGTGATTTACCCACTTTGCATTGATATAACTGACCACAAAGGTGCAGGACAGCAGAGAATCTGGTCCAAGAGTAACTCTAATGGAGGCAACAACATTAACATCCACTTAGCTGTAGCTGGGGGTCTGTTAATGCTGTGAAAAGAGATACTGAGAGTCAAATTCTGTACCCAGTTTCACTGGTGTAACTATAGTATGGTCACTCTAGATTTACACCATAGTATGGTCACTCTAGATTTACACCATAGTATGGTCACTCTAGATTTACACCAAAGAACTTTGGCATATGTCAAAAATACACTCTGCATATGAAGTACTTTCTTGTTAATGAAAAATATATCTGTCACGTTCTATACCTCGTGGGAACACCCTACACCCCCATGTTCATCCTTAGAATATGATTGTGCGATATCCAATGCAAAGTTTGTCATGTTGGGTGTTTTCAGAAGGCTCATGATGTACTGAGCATTGTTATGGTAATGTTATAGTAATTGTTGTTATAGTAATGTTATAAGAAAAGGAGTACTTGTGGCACCTTAGAGACTAACCAATTTATTTGAGCATGAGCTTTCGTGAGCTACAGCTCACTTCATCGGATGCATACCGTGGAAACTGCAGCAGACTTTATATATACACAGAGAATATGAAACAATACCTCCTCCCACCCCACTGTCCTGCTAGTAATAGCTTATCTAAAGTGATCATCAGGTGGGCCATTTCCAGCACAAATCCAGGTTTTCTCACCCTCCACCCCCCCACACAAATTCACTCTCCTGCTGGTGCTAGCCCATCCAAAGTGACAACTCTTTACATAATCAAGTCGGGCTATTTCCTGCATAAATCCAGGTTTTCTCACATCCCCCCCACCCCCATACACACACAAACTCACTCTCCTGCTGGTAATGTTATAGTAATTTTATAGGTTGTAATTTCACGTATATAGTTATGAGGCTGAAAACGTGTCCTCATGGCTTAAAGCAAGCCCAGGCAAAAACTCCCCAAAAGCATAGGGGCAGTTCACACCTCATCAGGGCATGTATGAGACAAATCCAGCCCAGCCTCACAGGAACAAAGGACACCGGCCTAGGCAATAACAAAGGATCTGTTGGACTCCCGAGTGAGTCATCCCCCTTCCTTTGGTCAGTTTGGGCCTGCGATGAGGTAATGCTCAGCTGACTCTGAAGGGGGGGCGGCAAAGCCAAGAGGGAAGAAAGAACAGGATAAAAGGGAGAGACGTTTGCCATGCTCTTCCTCTCTCTTCTGCCTCCATCTACAGACATCACCACCAAGCAACTGAAGCGCTGATCAAAGAGGGAGCCTGGCTGAAGGGAAACCAGCCAACCTGTGGTGAGAAGCATCTAAGTTTGTAAGGGCACTGAAAGTGTTAAAATCAGCTTAGAATGTGTTTTACTTTTATTTCATTTGACCAAATCCACCTTGTTATGCTTTGACTTATAAATTTAAAATCTATCTTTATAGTTAATAAATCTGTTTGTTTATTCTACCTGAAGCAGTGCATTTGGTTTGAAGCGTGTCAGAGACTCCCCTTGGGATAACAGTCCTCGTACGTATCTATTTCTTTGTTAAACTGATGAATGCATTGTGACAAAGTTCCTCCTCTGCCCTGGTGGGTCCTGCGCTTATTGGCGGATTTGCTTGCCACAGAGGTTCACAGCAGCCCTCAGTTTGGCCACTTTTGCTAGTGGCTCAAACCTGCTGTCCACTCAGCTAACCTCATTACTGGCCAGCATGGGGGGGAAACAGAGAACAATCCCCGCAGTCTCTGTGCCCCACCTAGTGGGTCGGGGACAGGCCAGATCCCTTTCCAATTTAGGCCTTCCCTTCTGGTGTTTCTCACAGACCAGGTCAACTCCTCCTGTGTCTGATAAGGAGTTAGGGAGATGGCGGGAACCCGGGTCCACCCTCTGCATGGGGTTCTAGCCCAGGGCCCTGTGGATAGCAGCTGTCTACAATGTTCCCTGTATCAGCTGCGTGACAGCTACAACTCCCTGGGCTACTTCCCCATCGCCTCCCCCCGGCACCTTCTTTATCCTCACTGTAGGATCTTCCTGCTGAAGCCTGATCACACTTGTACTCCTCAGTCCTCCAGCAGCATACCTTCACTCCTTGCATGCCCTCCTACTAACTGAGGGGGGGTCCTTTTTAAACCAGATGTCCAGATTAGCCTGCCTGCCATAATCGATTCTAGAAAGTTCTTAATTGGCTCCAGGTGTCTTGATTAGCTTGCCTGTCTTAATTGGTTCTAGCAGGTTCCTGATTACTCTAGGGCAGCCCCTGCTCTGGTCACTCAGGGAACATAAAACTGTTTATCCAGTGGCCAGTATATTTGCTTTCTACCAGACTCCTGTACCTCACTGGTCTGGATCCGTCACAGCATATAAGCTTGCAGCGTTCAGTGAGCATAACTGGACACTGCAAGATGGAGGTTCCTAGGTTGTGTCTGGGATCAGAGATATTGGCTAGTGTCATTTGGTTGCACAATCCAAGCACCTTACATGCCAGAGGCTGTGCGTGAACAGCCCAGGAGTGGGGGTTTTCACAGCAGAGCAGGGTAAGACTGGCTCCCAGAGTCAAGGATTTGAGTGACCTAGCAGATCACCAGCCCAGATAACACCTGGGGAATGTCACAATATCCTTGTGTGCTTTTTTCAACCCTTATACATCAAACTTTGTTTTAATTTACTGCATGCTTAAAGAGGCTGTTATGACATCCTATAACAAATTGTCTTCAAATAAAGTAGTAAACATTCTTTACTCCTAAACGATATATACCATATGTTGGCCTAGCCATGCATTCCTTGTGGCCAGCTAAGTATTTATAAAAGTTATTCTCAATCTCATACGATATGATAACAAACCAACCTTTGGTGGGGGTAATTTATAATAATGTGTCACTGGCGAGTTTAATTTCAAAACACTTTAACTTTTGTAATTTTAAAGAAGGCCCACTTTTGTTGGACTTTTCCCTACTTTTTTAATGATTTATTGCTGGTACCATATCACAGCTGTACAAAGAAACATTCTACATCCAAAAATAGTAGCAAAATAGCTAAGTTGTCATGCGAATTCTGGTTAAACTTATACCTAGTGCATCCCTCCACTCTGGAGAATGGAGAATAGACAAGATGCCATTTGATAAAAGGGATAAACATGATCCTTGCTGTGACAATTTGGGAAATTTGTCTATTTAAAAGTTATGAATTCTGGTTGATTTTACAAAATTGCTCTATTGTTGAATGCCTCAGTGTGTACTGAATAAGCAATTTGCTAACATGGTTTGTGTCATGTACAATCCCCAACCTGGGCTAGGTAGGTGCTACAGAAAAAAGGAAGGGTCATTCACCTGAATGGTCTTTCATTCAGGTAGAAGCACCTTAGACCAATGGGACGGCCCCCCAGGTTGTCTGCAGGGGGTGGGGTTGGAGCAGTGGAAAACCTCCAGCAAAACAGAAGGGGGAAAAAAGGGTGTTAAGAGCTGCTCTTAAAAAGGTTCATGCTCACCTTTTGACTACCAGACCTGAATAAGCAAAGGGGAGCTAGAAGCATGAGTCACAAGATAGATTAGTCAGAGCCCGGTAACCAGGAAGAGAAACTGAGCTGGAGGAGTGGGGTCCAGAAGGGGACCCAGGACCCGTGAAAGGCACTGACTAAAACCCAAAGAATGTTCAAGAGTGGTGAGGACTTTGAGTGAAGAAACCGTGTACAACTGTTTATTATTTTGCCTAGATTTGTGTATCTCATGTGATTTGTCTGTGAGGAAAGTGTGATTGGTTTAGAAATTCCTCTGCAAGTCTGTGCATTGCTTGCTTCAACTATCACGTCCCTGAAAGGCTAAACCATAGAGTACTCACGGGGGGTGAAAGTCTGTGGACAAAGTGTTTGAGGAGTCAGTACTGGTCCTGTGGGCTGAGGGCAGTCTATTCCCTACAAGTGGTACCAGACAGAGAGACAGGTGTGTGCCCAAGAATTGTGTCAAAGATGCCAATACCTGTGACTGGACCCTGGAGCATTTAGAAGCACATGGCTCCAAACCAGTGCTGAGAGAATTTTTTCAGATGAATAGTTTATTCAACAAAAAAATGCAGTTTCCATCATGTGGAAACTATTATTGAATTTGACCCAATTAGTTCTGATCAGCTTCAGAAAAGTAAAAAAAGAGAGAGTATGGACATGAGATAGGCAGGTACTCTGGCCCCAGGGCAAAAGGTTGATATGTAGAAAGCACACATTTGAATTCCCACTCTGAAGCAGGGAGTTGAACTCAGGTTCCCTATCTGTCCGGTGAGTGCCCTAACCATCAAGCTTTTGGCTAGTCTACTCTCAGTTTCTCCTATTGAAGTTGTTCCCTTTTTATACATATTTAACTATTCGCTGGGTCCCCAGCCTGCTGATGAAGGCACGCACTGGGGAGGTTGGAAATGTGGAGTCAAATCCCCCCTCTAAGTCAGTCAGAGAGAGGATATGAATCCACACTTTCTACTGACCAGGAAAGTCCCTTCATCACCAGGCTAGAGAGTCAGTCTCACTTCTCCTACTTGGCCCAGTGCATATTTAGGTATATATACAAAGGGGAGCTTCAATGGGAGAGAATGAGAGGCACCCACCCCAGAACAGCCTATAGCCTGGTGGTTAGGCTGATCACGGGCGGGGGCACAGAGGAGGGGACAAGACCCTCCTCCAGAGTAGGGTTTCAAACCTGGGTCTCCCACATCCCAAGCAAGTGCCCACTAGGGCACATGGACACACACGCAGAGTTTTCTGATGCGGACTACAACGAAATGGACTTTTCTGATCTGTTCACAAATTCTGAAGGTTTTTGTAACTGACCCTAATATTTTTTTCCTGAGTTTTCAGTTTGCTCTCCACAGTAGCATAACTAGGAATGGAAATGTGGGTGGGCTCCAACTTATGGTGGATGGGCAACATCCAAAACCTGAGTACCCACCTTCAGGATGCATGGCTTAATAAAATAAATAAATAAATAAACAAGCCTGTTTGTTGTTAAATATACTTAAACTTGGCATTCACACAGGCTCAGATTTGAGTGGGAGCTAAGGCCCAGGCAGGCCCACCCATGGCTATGGCCCTGGCTGTCTGAACAAAAAAACAAACAAACAAAAAAATAATTCACCCAGCTCTAGTCCAAACACCACCCCCTTTGGCGAGTGTCCAGCCGGGGGGCTGTACCAGGTCTGTGACACTTGCATAACACTTTTAATCAACCAAACCAAACCACACTGTGGTTCAACTAATACTTTAGTACAGTAGCTGGAACAAAATTCATGCATATGCAGAAAGACAGCTGTCCCAGTGCAGCACCGTTGTTATACTCCACTCTGATTTCCTATTTAACCACTGGGTCCTCCAGAGTAATGCCATAAAGAGGTTCATTTGGGGATAGGCTGTGGGTTATGGAACACAGTGAGAGGATTTTAGCACATAACTGTCCGACCTGGCCACTCCAAATCTCACACAGCTTAGTCTTGTTCCTGGGAGGAATAACATGCTTGGATGTTCTCCATGGGCCTGTGCTCAAGACAGATTTTGCAGTAGTAATAAATCCCAGTATGGGTCATCAGGAATGGGGACCCAACCCAGGACCTCTGGATTTTAAAGCATGAGCTGTGACTGCCTGACCCACTTCTGTTAGACAAGACTGTAGCAGGTTTATCAACCTCTATCTGCAGCTCAACCATCACTAGGAGGGAATGGAAATCCAGATCCATAAAGGGACTTAGGCACATAAAACCCAGATTTAGTTGCTTAAGTGCTAGTTTTTCGCACCACTGCAATCCACAAAACCCCTGCTCAGATGCCACCTAAAGTCACTTGGTGCCTAAATTTTCACTGTAGAAGTCCCATTAGCACCTTATGTTTCTGCCTCTCTGGGCATGGATACTGCTGCCTAAAGTAGACATACAGCTGCCTACCTCACATCTAAACTCCAGCGCAATCCTCAAACCAGCAAGAGAGAGGCAGGGTGACGCCTATGTTGACTATGGGGCTCAATCCAGTAGGCATGCTCTGGGCACACCCAACTCCACATACAATGTTTAAGTCCTTTTGTAGATCCAGGTGAGAGTGCCACACTGTATGGATGTGAGTTACACAAAATTGTGAAAGCCCATTTTGACACACTCAACTTGGGGCTTTAGTTTGGCCTGTACAAAATAATCTTCTGACACAAGCCCACCAGCCATGCATATGTTGTGCCCTCTGTCCAGTACTGGCCCATTGTGACCACCTTTTTTCCCCTCTTGCGCTTCCCTGAAATTTTCTCTTAGACATGTGTATTTTTTGGTTTTGTTGTTTACATTTTATTTATT